CATGGCCAATAACAAAAAAATTATTCTTCTTGGGCTTCTTCTTCTGGCCACTTTGGTTCGTTGGTATGGGATTCTCGATGTTTGGAAGAGACACAAGCACCAGAACTTGGGGAAGAAGATGCGCATGTAATTCGCTGATTGTAGCTGTGGTGTTTGCGTATTTAGTAGTTGCATATATCCGAACTGGCGGCAAACTGGTGGATTAAAAAAGTTAACCAATCTTGACCGCGTTAAATGGCGAAAATGTGACAATAGGGGAGGAGCATGGTCACTTCTATTCTTCGTTAATGAGCCGTAGACTTTGCTTTAGTTGTTCTTGGTTATCCTCTTTTGTAATTTTTTCTTAAGTTTACGTGCCTTTGATAGGACGATAAACTGTTCGCAGTACTGTATTTGAAAAGAATTTTGTGGTTACAGAGCTCAGCTAAAATCTATTTTTCGATTTGTTACCGTGGCTTTTCTCTGCGTTTGGAAACAGTTTGTTCCGTTATTTGTATTTTCCACATAGCTACGTAATAAAAGAAAAGATCCGAATACTTTAGGGTATTTCAAATCCATCACCCAGAATTCGCACCATATTTTTGTAAATAAAATTAATAGTATAAATCTTTGATAATTTGTAATAATGAAACATTTTTAACATGACATTGTATAATTACTTTTTTTTTTTTTTGAACAGGCATTAAGTAACAGCTTTTCGCTTCATTAAAATAACTTGATTTTTTAATACTTGTATGATTTATTTGGCAGATAAGATATTTATATTAAATAAAGAAACAATATACCATGTGTAATAAAAAATATTTCAAGTTATTTGTGTCTCAAAAATCATTGTATGGGGCGAGCTATCTAAAAATTAATGAAGATTGTATAATGGCTTATAATCACTGAATGTTAATCAATGTTTTAAATCAATTTTAAAAATTTTTTGATTTTATTAAAATTCGAAAAAAAAAATAAAATATGCTGTATAATTTTATATCTTTATAAAATTTAAATGCAATAAATTTATTTAAAAATTGATATTATATCTTTTTAATAAAAAATGTTTTAACTTTAATTTGTTGATTACTAAAATATTGTATTAGGATTTTTTAAAAAGTTTTTGTAATATACTGTTATTTAAAATAATTATTCAAAAATTTTTTTATAATTATGATTTTTTTATATAAACTTTATTATAAATAAAAAACTTATTGTAATTTTTATTAAACAATAATATTAATAATAATTAATAATTAATTTTTATTATTATTATTTTTTTCTATAGTTAAACAAGTGTATACTATTTATTAAATCTTTTCAGAAAACAAATAATATATAATATAATGTATTGCATAAACTATTCTATTGTCTTAAATACTTATCTTAGACAATTGTCTTTAAGTGTGACTTTGGAGATAAAAAATGTTGCTCTCTTATATGTTTATTTACTTATGAAATTTAATATTAAAGGTTATTACCTGTAGTTCATTACTTAGTTCATCTAAATAAAATCTAAACTACTTTTATAATTCCAACTATTTTTTTTCTTTTTTAATTTATTTCCAAATTAATAACTTGTATTAGACTTAATCGAAAATAAATTCTTTTATATTATTATTTTGTGAAGTTTCAAGATTCATATTTGTTTCTTCTTTTCTTTCTTGCTTTTTATTTTTTTATTTTTTATTTTTTATTTTTCTTATAATAATAATATTTTTTTTTCTTGTTTATATATCTTCAGTTTTATTTTTAAGTCCTGTAATCTAATACATTTATTATTTTATATCTTTTTTCAAACTTGTTTACAAATGGCTTTTGAGAACTTGTTTAGTAGATGTTTCACTTTACTCATTTTGATTTCCATTTTTGTTAGTAATTGAATTTATTTCATGATATCTTTTTTTTAAAACAGTTCCAGATATAGATCTATAATATTCTTTTTTAAAGAAAACTTGTTTTTATATTATTTCTATAAGAATTTTTAAAAGATATTATACTTGTTCTAGAATTTTTCTTTTTATACAATTTTTAGCCACTTGTTAAGTATTTAATTTTGAATTTCACTTTATATTTCTTTATTAAGTTTAACAATATATTATATGTATAAGAAAAAAAATACTTAAAAGATTTATTTTCTTATCTGCAATATATATACTTGATTAGATTTTTATATTTTTTAAAAAATCTTTTATTTATTTTATTTAATATTAATAGCTTGTTATATATTATCTTTATATAAAAGACTTTTTTTTTAATCTGTTTTATTGATATTTTCAAGAATTCTTCTATTTTGTTTGTTTTTCAATCAAAATTTTTTTAATTATTTATTTTTCTAAATATCTTTTCCATATACAGTTCTGATTAATTCATTTTGTTAATATGCTTCTTTTATATATTTTTTTAATAAAATCTTTTATTTTTATATCAATAAGAATTTTATTTCAACAAAAGTATTGTTTTGACTTCTTGTCAATATCAATTAGTTCAAATAATTTCTGATTCTTTTTTAGCTTCTTTAGTGAGAAGATTTATCTTATTGTTGGCTTTATCTTTATTATATGTTTTAATATTGATTATTTGAATTATAATATATTTTTTGTATATTAAATTAATATATCTTATCCATAATTGCCAGTTTTTTTATTTTCTATTTCTTTTTTCAATATCCTTGATATAGAGATTTTGTAATTATTAAAAGGATTAATACAAATAATACTATCTGTTTTAATTTCTATTTAACTTTTTTAAGATAAAACAAAAAGTATTAAGATAATTATTACAAGTTCTACTTGAAATACTAATAACCAATTATTAACCCTACTTGGATTCAATTCTTTTTCTTATAACTAGACTGTATCAATTCTTATTGTTTGATCTTTTGTTTTTTCATATGATCTGTCTATATAAAAACAATATAATTATTAAAAGTTATTATCCTTGTTAATTCTGTATTTCTCTATAAAGACTTGTAAGTATTCTATAAATAAACATATTCTTTAATTATTTGAACTCTAAAATCTTTTATTTTAACTGCTACCAAATGGTTATTGATAATCTTTTGTTCTATGAAATATTTCAACTTCTTTCTAGCTTGATTTTCTAGAATATATATAATAATAGAAATTTTAAATTCAAGCACTCTTTTAAGAATTAAATACTAATTTAGAATTTCTATCAATAAAAGCTTAGTTTTTGATTTTTTATTATTTCTAGGAAAGTCTATCTTATTCAATAAATTTTTCTAATAACCATTGGAATTTGTTTGAAAAGTACTTATAATTTTTTGGAATTTAATTGAGTTTAGTCTAGATTCTATTTTGAGCTTGTAGATTTTTACTTGAAAGGTTTAATAGTTTGAATCTCTTCTACTTTTATATCAAATAATTTGACTATTTTTCTTTTCAATATTTGAAATCTTTTAATTTCAATGATGACAATTTTTATTTAAACTATTAGAAATAAATTTTTGTCTTGTTTTTTTCAGTTTCAGTCCTATCATTTTTTCTTGAGAATATCATATTCATTAGCAAGTATTGATCTTAATATTTCAAATTATAAGAGTATGAATCCTTTATTAGTATTTGCAAAAGTTTATATAATTCTTCAGGAAAGTATTGTTTTGATATTTTTATTAATTAACTGATCTATAAACATAATATTATAATTCTTAAAGATGGAATTGCTTTGTAATACAATTCTATATTGTTGAACTTGTTTTTAATAAAATTGAGCTTTCTTTTTAATTGAAGTGATCTAATTATCAAAAGATAAATCTAAATTGTTTGCCAACTTTAGTACCTAAGTTAAAAAATTCTTTTAGTATTTGAATAATTCTGGAATTTCATTAGTTAGAATATTAACAGATTCTCAATTTTGAATTTGAACTTGTTAAGACAAATCAATATAAATAAATTGGCAGGTCTCATATTACTTAATCTGGTTATTAGATTGGAAATTTGGTTTTCTATCTGGATTTCTTCGATACTTTTAATATTATAAATTTTCTTATAATGAATAGCTGAGTTTGAAATTGTTAAAATAAATTTTGCTATACGTTTTAAGATTTTTTTTAATTAAATAGATAGGTTATTATATATAAATTGGTCTAAAGAACAATGTTATATTTGATATTTTATTTTAGAAATTAGAACTTTATTTATAATATATTCTGTATACTTGTCTATGATTTTTTTTTTGAGGCACAAGACAATTGTTATGATTTCTTGTTTGAGTTTATTGCTTTCAAACCATATTCCAAGAAAATGTGTAAAACCATTATGATTATTTTCAATAACCTTTTATTTTATTTTTTTTTATAAATAAACATACAATGCAGATTTTTATTGATACTTGCATAAATAAAAATACATCAAGTGTCTTTTACAATTGAAACAATTATTGATTTATATTGATTGTATTTGATAACAGTTCTAATTATAACTAACATTGCTTTGTCTTGGATGACAGCTTACTATCCATCTTTAAACCCAACTATAAAAATTATACATCAAAGATGAATTCAACATGTTGGATGGGATTTCTATAAGGGAGGAATGCTTATCACTAGTTTAAACCACCTAACCTATAATCCGTTTTCTGAAAGCTAATATTTATCCCACTGAGATTTGATCATTGGATTTATGGATACCTTAATACTTTTTGTTTGGATTCTTGAAAAGAATACTTGCTTCTTGTCATTATCTGCGGCTTTGGTAAATTCTTTCCAGAGATTGATTTCTTTTAAGCAAGTGCCAGATTGAGATAGCTCCAAACTAAAATATTCTGAAGGAAGTTGAGATAAGGCTTATTGGATATGATATATACAAGGAAACCTACATAATCTATATATAAAGCAACTTTACAACGATTATCATATATTAATCAGATAATTATTATATCACAACACCTTAACAAAAAATCACAATCTTAACACCTATCAGATTGATATATAAAATAACTTCTTATAAGAAACAACACATGTTTGATTATGATACCAAATACAATATTAATTCTATTCAATCATCCTTATATGGGGTTAAACTGATATCTTGTAATCTAACTTGTGAAATACTAATTACTGTGCTATGAACCTACAGATCTTTAATAACTTTTTGTTAATTCAGACCAATTTTTATAGAATTGGGTTCTCTGTTGTTACTATTGACTGTAATTAATACAGATTTGTTATTATTAACTTGAAAGTCATTAGTTGTATAAAATTATTTGACTCTTTCTAAGATATTTTTTATATCTTTTCAGATCTAACAATTCATATTATATCATTTATATATGCTATTGTAGCTTGTTGAACTAAAATTTAATATGGGATATCATTTTTACTTTCTATTTACAGCCTATGGAATATTCTAGTTTTATATTGTTCTGGATTTCACAAAACAAAAAATTATAAAAAATATGTTAAAGAAGGAAAAAAATTGTTTTTTCTTAATCTATTTTATTACTAGTTATTATTTTCTTTGTTATTCCTATATTAGTAATTACTTGAAAAGATTTATCCCTAAATGGTTTCAGAATTAATATTAATAGATATATCAAAATTTTGATTCTTTGAAGTACTTTTTATAACATTTCTAAACTAATCATATTATATACTTTTGTTATATCTTAAAACAAAATCCATAGTTTCTTCCTTTTCTTTTGAACTTCTTTATAGATATTATTTATCAAATAAATAGATTCTGAGATACTTTCTTCTAATAGTTATGTGAAATTGGATTCTTTTAAGATATTATATGTTTTATATAATAGATAATTGATTGGTAATAATCTTGATAAAGTACTTTTATAAGATATCTAAAAATACAATAGGTTTGGTATTGCTTAGAATGTCTTATTATTTTTTTTTCTTGGATATTGAACAAAACAAACTTTTTTTCATACTGATAGAATTATATAATAAGTTAGATATGTGTTCATAAGCTAATATAAAAATTTTTTTCCAAATACTTCTAAGTTTTTGAGCATTACATATTTAATTTTGTTAGGTTCTACTACTTTGTTTTTTGATAAATCTTTAAAAATTTCTTCAAGTTCTATTTTGAGAATATTGTTTTTCATCTCTTTATATCATTCTTTTTTTATTTTAGCTTTGGATATATATTGTTCTTTCCATTTATCATCTAATAGGTTAAAGTTGCTGTTTCATTTTTTGAAAGCACTTTTATAATATATTGCTATTTGATATAGGATTTTTTTTTATCTATAGTAATAGTAATTTATTTTATAAAGATCAAGTTATTTTATTAATAAAGAAGAAGTTCAATCTTGCAATTTCAAGAGAAATTGGATACATTTATATATATATTTAATATATAATTTGAATATATAATAATTATATACTATTTGAGTTATAAAAGAAATATTATTTTTATTAGAACTAGGGTTCCAAAAAGTATCAAGTCAATATCAAAGTGATATTAAAATAATACCAATCTATAGTAAATTTAATATATGGATTATGACCTGTTTATATGAATTTATAATAAATTTAAGTATCAAACTGATATTGAACAGATATTGTATCATTAGAAGCCTTAATTAGAACAATTAACTATATGTGTTTTTATAAAGAAAATGTTTTGGTAAAGAAAAATAATTAAAGATAAATAAGAAAAATAGAAAATATTCTAGAATAAGAATAGTACAAAAAGTATAATATTTAGAGATAGTAGATTAATAATATAAAAATTATTTCAGAATATAAAATATTTTAAAAATAAATATTATTAAAAATTAAACAAGAAGTAATATAAATCTTTATTAAAAATCAAGTATAATAATATTTTTGTATTATTAAATAATTATTTTTTACTATAAACAAGCATAAAATATATGATTTTATTAAATAATAAACAATTCTAATCAGTACATTAAGCATTCATTTAAGTTAATGCTAGCCTATCACATGTTAACTACAAGTTCCTAAAAAACATTATATAAGTGAAAAGAAATTTGCAGTGATCCATAAATGGCTTATGCTCATCTATAAACAGCTATGTTGATATAGTCATTAGTAATAATTTTATTGACTTGGGTTTTGGCTGTGCTATTTAAACCTGTGAAACTATAATGACAACTTTTGGGAATGATGTATTGTTGAATGGATTTTGGATTTATTGCTTGGATCTGTAAAACCATAAGACAACTGTTTAAGGATTGAATAAGACATGTGAAAAGCCTAGTATTTTTACATGACTATGACGTTGGAATTGTTGTTATATTGATAAGAAAAGCTGTTGGGGTGTTGTGATATGAATTTGTTATTGTGGTTGTTACAAACAGGTTTGAGCCAGTTTGATTGTCATTATATTGGATTGTTAATGTTTGATTGGTTGTTGGATGTATGTTGATCATTTGGAGGGTAGAACTGATTTTGGTTTGAAAATAATTGAGTTTTTATGAAAAATAAGTTGATGCAACATTGTATATCAAGTAAGAGATGGTTAAGAAGGTTTGGTTAAAACAAGTATTAGACTCAGTAACTTTGTTTGAGTATGATTTTAGGATTAAATTTGCGATAGTGAGGAGAGATAAGAAGATAGTATTAATGGTATTTTTTTTTTTTTTTTTAATCTGTAAGTGAGACTTTACTCTAGCTTGTATTAGTGGGCCGTCCTAATACTTGTATCAAGCTAAAATCCACCTACAGGTTTTCCATCCGGATTAAGTTTGCCACCTTTTACAACCGTTCAGTTTAGCCAAGACTTACTAGGATTTTAGTCAGTGAAATATCATTGGCAGGATGAGGATACACCAGTACACCAAACTCGTCTGGGGATTGGACCCAGCCTTACCCTTCTTAATCTAACCTAGCAACACATGTGGGGGGTTACATTTTATAGGGATTATGCAATCAATCGTCACAAATGTACCCCTTAGGATAGAACATCCCATGATACATGCAACCTCTTGCAGCCCTGACCAGATCCTCGCTACCATTGGACATGTGAAACTCTTACTAATAGTTGTGCGACTAATGGTTTTAGCCATCTATACCTTTCTTTCCGCTACCAAAAAGATCTCATGAAACTTCTTTTTTCTTATGGAGGTATTTTCCGGGCAATACTTGATTAGAAAGTTTATCAATCTGATCATCTATTTTTCGACCTATGGGGTATAGTCTACCCATAAGGCTCCTTGATCACCAGAACAATCTAAATCACTCTCTATTATGAGTCACAGGGGCTAGTTGAGATATAAGCAGAAATATTAACAATTATTTCCCAGCTGGAATTGAACCGTAGGTCATAAGTTAGCCCTATCCTGCCTTAGCCCACTGGACTATAACCAGATAGGTCTGATAGTATTAATGGTATATAAATAATAAGAGATATATAAAGAATTATGAAGGAGGACTGCTATGAACCTTTCCTTATACAAATAAAAAACAAACAAAACTTCCAAACTTGCTTAACCTTTGTCCAGAGGTTCTATCCTAATGCAACAGTGGTTCTTAAAGTCTTTACATCCTTAAGCTTATGGTATAGATGGCATATTAAGAGAGTGGAAAATACTTTTTCAAAGAAAATTATCATAAAAGAAAATTTTTAAAGAATCAGTAGTAAACAGGTGAGAGTTTTTTTTTATATTATTATTAAATAATTATTTTTAAATAGTTGAAATATTAATTTATTAAAAAATAAAAATTTTTTTATAATTATTATTAAAATATTTTTTTGTTTAAAATATATAAGCTTCTTTTTTTTACAAATGTTATATTTAAATATTTGAATCTTGATCAAATTTAATTAGACTGTATAAAGATAAAACCTTTGATCTTTTTGATAATTGCAAGCTAAAAACAGATTGAAGTAGAAAAGATTGATAAAAAAAGGTTTCTGATTTAATTTTAATAATAAGTTCATATTCTTTCTGATATAGTATATTCTATAGCATAACATATTAATATAAAATAAGAATCCTGAAAGAAGATTGTTAATGTGAACTATATATGTGATAAAATTGAATTCAACCATTTTTCAAAACCATATTATGGTAGAATTACTAACACTAGTCAAAATAGTGCCATTCGGCATGCTGCCACTCATTAAACATTCAGATACAACATTTGACATAGTATTATTTGGCAAAAATTTGGCATAATACCACTTGGCAATAATTCGGCATATGCTGATTTATAAAATAATATTTTATTTTTTGTAATAATTATAATAAAATAAAATAAAATTTACAATATATTTTTTTTAAAAAAATCAAATTTAGATAAAAAATGTTTTATGTCTAATTATAGCCGATTTTTAGTGATTTTAAATATTATACAGTTAAACCTCATTAATATCAACTTCGTTAATATCAACACCCCTCTATTAGCAACATCAGTTATAGGATGAATTTTTACTTATAAAAATTCTCTCGCTAATATCAACTTTTATATTATACCCCATTAATATCACTATCAATATAAATAAAGTTTTTTACTCTTAATCATATGCACCCCGTTGATATCATCTACATATTTATTTTTTTTTTATTGTACATGTATACCCCTAACATACAGTATATATCACATATATGCATACAGTGTATAGTTTCCTTTTATGTCCCTTTGTATGATTCCCCGATACTCCAACATTACAAATTCGCATTTGTGACAATAATGAATAAAAAACCAGAACAATCACGAAAGAAGCAAATGCACTTAACCATAAAATCCAAGCAAGAAATATGCTAACAAAAACAGACTAATCCAACCCTCACCATTGACCAACTTTCTGAAGAATATGGTTGCGAAAGAAGCACAGTTTCAAAAATTTTAAAAACAAAGGACAAGTGGCTATCTATGCAACTAACAAAACATGAAACAAAAAAAATGACCAATAGGCCAGCAAAGTTCATACAATTGGAAACTGCTTTAAGTATTTGGACGCAATGGATTTTCTTACAAAAGGCAATATTAACAGATAGACTTTTACAACTTCAAGCAAAGAAATTTGCAGAATTGTTAAATATTTCGGAAGCCAATTTTAAAGCAAGTCATGGTTGGCTTGACAGATTTAAAAAAAGACATGATATTCAGCGATTTAGAATTCATGGAGAGTCGAAGAGTGTATCTATCAAAAATTTTCCTGAGCAAAGACAGAAATTGGTCGAATTACTTTCACAATACAAGCCAGAGAATATTTACAATGCTGATGAAACTGGCTTCTTTTATCGGATGACATCCAATCAAACACTTGCAACAAAGCCAGTCAAAGGTAAAAAGAAAAATAAGAAATGAATAACTATCTTGCTTTGTACAAATGCAACTGGTACAGACAATCTTAAACCACTAGTTATTGGACATTTAGCAAATCCCCGATGTTTCAAGAATATTCAAAAAGAGAACCTTAGTACCAAATACAAAGCCAACAAGAAAGCATGGATGACTGGTGATATTTTCAGGCATTGGATAAAATCTTTAAATGCTACCAACCGACTCAATCATAGAAAAATTCTTGTTTTGGTTGATAATGCTACTTCTCACATAGTTAGCAAGGAATTGGGATATGTTAAAGTTCACTTTCTACCATCAAACACCACACCTTATCTACAACCATGTAATGCTGAAATAATTAACTCATTTAAAGCTCACTATCAAAAATTATATCTTCGAAGTGTTTTGGAAGCAATAGATACTGAAAAAGAAATACCCCGCCTTAATTTAAAGAAGTAATCGATTTTACTTCAGAAGCATGGAGAAATGTAACCCCTTAGACAATTGTCAATTGTTGGCGAAAAACTGAAATAATAACATTGGTAGAGTGGAATTGGCCAAATTAAAATATTCAATATAATAAAGAGAATATAGAACTAAAAACTGATATCGAACAATTTATTTTCAGCATTTCTATTGATAATATTCAGATGACAGCTGATGACTATATCCATATTGATGATACTGTTGAAACAGAAGAGGTCACTATAGATGAAAAAGCCATTCTAGAAGAGATTCTCCAACCATCCAATCCTAACAGTGATGAAAACAGTGAGATTGAAATTGAAAAAATTCCTTATTCCATTGCTTTTGAACAGTGTAAGTCATTTTTGATGTATATAGAATAACAAGACTCAACAAAATTTGTAGAGGAGCAGGACTTGCCGAGATTGCGAAGTCTGTTACGATACATTCAAATAAATATATCTCAGGCGAAACAACAGAAAAAAGTGACAGATTTTTTATTGTAATACATGTAGTATAAATTTGATTTAAGCTTTTTTAATAAGAAAGATTTATTTTGGAAAGAAAGGTTAGTGAGAATGGTCTATTTGGAGAGTAAAAAATAAAAGATTTATATACACGTTAAAAAAGTCTTAAATAATGTAAGGACTATATGGACGAAGCTTAGTACTATTTATATCTTATTATTAGCTAATAAAATTGCTAGATTCTGTATCTTGAAATAATACATATTGATATCTATAAAATAATATTATTTAAGTACTATTTAAGTTTACATATATATAGTGTGTATGACTATATCCCTATATGTAGGAGTTGTGCCCTGCTTAGCATTTATGCCCCTAGATTTGACAGCTTAAGCCAACCGAGCTCCCTTGGAGTATCTACTGGGAGATTTAGGAGTCATATCCTACTTGGTTAGCAATCAAGCCCCCAGATTTGGTAGTGTATGCCAATCAAGGACAGATTTTGGAGCATTTACTAGAAAGTGCATATATATATGGATCCCATCTGCAGCTGCATGAGCCGAAGACGAGATTCAAGCAAGACGATCTACAGAAAATTAGCATATGTTGATTAAGAAATGTCCTCAAAAAGCCTAAGTATGGATCCACCCCGAGATTTAAGTTGGTATTTGGGTAAAAATGGGTGAGTAGCGTCAGTTAAACTATACATGTGGTAGAAATTGGTAGATCCTTGATGCAATTGACGCAATTATTTGACGCAATTAATTGAGTCACTATTAAAACATATAAAATAATTGAGTTAGACGCAATTATTTTTGAGGATTTTGGCAATTGAGTCAACAACAAAATAATTTACACCACATGTATAAGTTAAACTAGACTGTTCATGTGTTGACCATGGAATCTACAAAAATGATTAAATAAAGTCTTGCGTGTATTACACTTAGCCCCCCCAAAAAAAAAAAAAAATAGTTTATATATATATATGTAAATAAGAAATCGCGTTTTTACTTATACTTCGGATATACAGTATACGGATAACCGTTTACGTCTTGTCACAGTCGCATTTATTAGCCAATAAAATTGTTAGACTCTGTACCTTTAAATAATATACATAAAAATAATATTTAAGTATATGTACTACATGTATTTAAATTTAGATTTTACTTGAAATCACATTTTTACAATGATATCCCTAAACCCCGTAATTATCAACCCTCGCATATATCAACCAAATTGCCTGGTCCCTTGATGTTGATAATAACGGGGTTAGACTATACTTGTGGTTTAGTGAAATTATAGCTAAATATTTACAAGAATTATGCCGATTTGATATTTTATATATAAATGGAATAAATCAGCCAAAATATTGTAAATAGGGATTATACATTCACGTTTAATTGGGTAAAATTCAATATTCCATAATTCAACATTCGTTTTATTTTCTGAGCCAAAATGAAATCTTACATCTGCTGAATTAACTGGTTTAAACCATCGAATAAAAGCCAATTTATGGCATACCACAATATTCGAAAAATTAACCGAATGTGTGAAAAAAAATTGAACTTGTTCCAGATATAAATTGACACTTTCATTATGATTCACAAATCGGGCTAACACAAATGAACCCTTTACATTTCGTGAAAACATAAAAGAATCAAAAATTTCGTTTCCTATTCGATATCTTCCATATTGATTTGTTCTATTCTAAATAACTATCGAATCATTAATATTATTTGTGAATGGTCTTCAAAAATTTATTGTTTCATATGAAGCCTCATAATATTCGACTAATAGATCCAATATTTTGGCAGGTAATATTAAATTCAATTT